TCAGTAGTTGGAGACTGTAGATGACATGGCTCAGAATCGATCACAATTTCGCCGGTGTATACACTCTCTATCTTCCCTTAAACCGTTAGATTCAAGTTATTTTATACCTTCCTTCGTGTGAATTGATTCTTTCATTTTGTATTGTATTCTTTAGTAATCTTTCTTTTACATAATAATTCCACTGAATTAACTACTTCTATGAATTTGGTTTTGATCTTTTTATTTTAATGAATTGTGGCAACTCAGACCGATGCATATATATATGTGCCTGGTCCTACGTTGTAGCTGATTGACTGACTAACGATTAACCCTGTTGTAAAGTCCCAATCTACGTTGAAACATCCGTTCAGTGCTTTTGTATTTTTAAGAGTTATCTAACTTAAATTGGTTCATGATTTCAATAAAGATAATAAAATATTCAAAGAAAAATATTTTCTAAACCATTGGATATCTAACAATTGGGTTTTAAGCTCTCTAGTTTCTTTCTAATAACACCATCATATATATTAAAGAACATAAAAGTCATTTATATATCCATATGTAAGGTGAATACCTTATTGATAAACCAAGGTATGTTATTTGGATAGGCTTGTATTATGAGCTACTTTGTTACTAAACTATTATGTTGAGAGTTATTAGTTGACTAAGCCAAAAGATACATGTAAGACGTATGATCAATAGTAATGTTAGTTTAAAGTACAAAGAATACAATCTATAATAGATATATGCCTTGTAAGATTGGATGTTCATTGTTGAGTAATCTTAGATTTTAAAAAAACGTTAAAAATGATCATAAAGTTCAGGTTCTAGAGAGTTGAGTGTCATGTTTCTATTCTTCAAAAGTATATTGTAACTTAATCATTAGAATTAAGCTTAGTAACTATAATTATTATGTAAAGATGTAATGATATGCAATAGTGAATTATTCACTCAATTGTTAGAAGTGTTATAACTTGTGGGTTTGTTCCCCTATCAATGTATAACGTGATCAATATATCAACGTATACAGTCAATTAGAGAACAGTGAATTATCGATCGAACCACTGACGCATAAAACCCGTACGAGCAGTCTACAGTCCTTAGCGATCCTAATTCCTGTCTAGCCCAGCCAGTTAAGTCCAGAACATCAATCTCAGCCTCTGTGATATGGATAATGTATTTCAAACATACTGGGTTTATATACAAACCAAACAGACCACACCATACCATGAAATCGAAAATACACATTTGTAAAAGATTTAACTGAAAGTGGTTGTGAATGTGGGAGACTTTAATTAATAGACTGGGCATAACTCAAGAATGGTAAATCGTATAATATTAGTTTATGGGTCAAAATAAAGGTTTTAATAAGAGGAACATGAATATGAATAGTTTAGTTACTTGACAATTATACAATACAAAATATATGTGTAGCATTAGTCCAGAAATAGATTCCAACAGTTACCAACAGTTACATTATTCTCATCGAGATACAACAAGAAGTAAATTATTATAAACCTTAATGATAAGACCATGGATTGGATATTACTTTCAGTCATATATGATGATGAACAAATGATGGGTATCCATATCAAGATTGGATTTGATAGTTGCAAATAAATTGAGTATTTTATTTATTTATTTATTTATCTAAACATATAAACATTGGTATAAGGAGTCACAAAGTAGATATGCGCAATATAAATCATTCGATTTGTGCGAGGGCTGGAATACTGACTAGGTGCCCAAACCGAAGCAGGTGGTTTTCTTTGTGGACCACACCCCGAGCCTTTGACCTAAAGGTCTAACCCACAAGACCGTAGAGAGACGTAAAGTGATGCAGTCCCATAGTAATAGGTGACTAATAATAGGTTCATACACCATTTGTTTCTTCAGGATACTGAAGTCTTATGTGCATCATTGGTTTTGGATCAGGGTTTTCAAACTCTTGTAGGTGGACTCTCCATGTCCATGATAATAAATACTGCTTTTTTTAAATGTTATATCCCAATTTATCTGCTCATGTAGAGCTAGGTATATAGGACGTTCGATGCGTACTTTATCTAAAAGAATTTAAAAACATTACCCGGCTTGGCTAAGAAGAGAAGGAAACGGCTCAATAATAAGTTTGATAATAGAACAATTTGTAAACATAGGTCACTCAGTCACGATGAACTTTGAGTTCAAATTCATCTACAAGGTAAGTAGAAGTATTCTAATGACAATTAGATTGCTTCTCCTTAGCATTGCCGAAGAAATAGCCATACATCTGAGAAAGCCAGAGTTGTGTGTGGAAAAGAGATTGGTACAACCTCTTCTTCGACCATGGTCTTAATGTCTTATAATGTTTTTGAAATTTTTTTGGAATTTTTTTCCTTCGTACCCTTCTTCTATTAAAGCCATTTGTTGCCCTCTCCATGTTCCCTTTAAATCTTCTGCCGTCAACTGGTTTATTTATGTTTCTACGATCCTCCTAATTACATCTATTCTCAATTTCAACGTTTTATCTTATCATTCTGAGCTATCCTGTCTCCATGATTATTTCCTTATCTATCTTTTGATGACTATTTGAGCGGCTAAAAATGAAACGATTATTAGATTAAAATTCACTTGGTATTGTTTGTTTGAATCTTCCCGGTAATGTTTACGACCGCAATTGTTCAGTCTCTTTTTTTGGCATATGTGTATACTATGAGTTCTGCCTCGATATAGCCTTAATTCACAAGCATTGTATGCTAAGATAGATAGTGGTTAGCAGTGGAATCTAAGACGCGCGTTTCGTCCCATTTGAGACTCGTCAGCTGGATGTATCTGCACTTCGGAGTTGATGTTCCCCTGGGTTTTCCTTGTTTAAAATGTTTTGTTGACTTTGTTTATTTTACCTCACTGTCACCATGTTTAACAGAAGTTTATTATCATTATTATTGTAATTATTATCATCCTAAAAACATAAGTATATATATTTGTGATTGTACAGATTTGAAAATGAATTCACCGAAAAGAGAACTCTTCGCTAAACTAATCTTTCTTATTTAATTTCTAAATGGGTGTATTCCGTTTACTATATCCTAATAAATAAAAAAATTGTATTTCTGACGATGTTTCGTGACTTAATATAATCCACTTTTTCAGAGTATTATTGTATTATTTAAACTTGTGTTAATTGAATTCGGTTATATATTTACTCTGAAGAAATAGTTAATATTTAGTCACGAAACATCAAAAATACAATTTCTTTATTCATTCGGGTTAATGTAACAAAAATATTATCAATAAATGGATCTTTAACATGTACATCTTAAGATAATTATAAAGTTTCTATGGTAAAGTCCTATTTTTCATCCTTATTTTCTATGCTTGTGACTTTTTATTTTATCAGTATAGGATTGTGGAGAATGTTAAGTTATTGATTGAGATCATGAACCGATTGATGTTAGACCATCACTGAAAACCTGGAAGCATTGGATGACCGTTTCATCCTATTGCGGAACTTCTCAGCAATGTGTATGCACGATCCTGCTCGCGAGATATTGAAGTTAAGAGTTCGCGTGTGCGACTGAAAGCTCTGAGTTCGAATCCCGCAAGTGGGACCGTGAATGCGCACTGTTGAAGAATCTCATAATAAGAGAAAATGGCCTGTCTAGTGTTTCCAGGTTATTTATGGTGATCTAACATCAACCGCTTCATGATCTCAATCAAAAACGTTCTGTTCTTTGTCACATTAGGATCACTATAGGATTTTGCTAGAAAATCGTTAGTTTATGTTTTGTACAGTTTGATTTTCATTAGCAAGAAAAACGTTTTTTCTCATCTGCATGTTTCTCTACCATTGTAAACTGATACTACACAGAAATTGGTTGATTGCAGAAGTGTTTTTTTAAAAACAAAAGTCGTGAAATTTTTGTAAGCAATAGTGGCTAGCAGTGGAATACAGGACGCGCGTTTCGTCCTATTTCGGACTCGTCAGCTGTATGTACCTGCATCCGAGTTGATGTTCACTCTGGGACTCGAACCCAGTGCCATTCGCTTCAAACACCATCACGTTATCTACTTAGCTACTGAGTCCTGATAGCCACTTGTTTGTGTAATGGGGTGAATTTCAATTGACTTGGTATTATTTGGCTTGTATCTTCCCATTGAGGTTTAAGACTGCAAAGTTGTGAAATGCTGTAATATGTATATACCTTATCACTTGGGATAATGGGAAGTAATGAGATTTGAGACATACGATACCTTTTGTTTAAGCCTATTTGACTGGATATACTTGTATCTTAGTGTTGATGTAATATAAGCAACGTTTAGCGATCATAATATATTCTGGTATACGATTATCTAACCTGATTGTCAACAAAAACTGATCAAATACTGTGGTGAATATAAACAATAGGATATTATAAATGCTTATTAATATTTTATACTCATTGAAGAATTTAGTCCAGAAACTAAATGAGCAAAGCGTTGGCATCTGGATAAACTTCACTATGCCCATAAACACTAAGACGCATGTACATCTAGTTGATAAGTCAGGATACGCATACTTGTTTCCAACTAAAATGTACCAAGAAAAAAAACTTGTAACTGATCTCCAATATTAAGTCATCCAATCAGATTCCTATAATCCAGGAAAGAATAATCACCTTCAATTCTGAATAACAAAAAATATAAATAAAAAGTTTACAAAATCCACTAGATATTGTTTACATGAATCTTCCCATTTGATGTTTACAACTTCAATTGATCAGTCTCTATCTCTTATTGACTGTGAGTATTAACTTGATATTACTTTAATTTACAAGTATTATAAACAACAACAAAATAGATAACGGGTTAGCAATGGAATCTAGAACGTTCGTTTCGTCCTATTTAGGACTCATCAACTGAATGTTCACTCTGGGACTCGAACTCAGTACCATTCACTTCAAACACTATCATGTGATTCACATAGCTACCAAATCCTCACCTCTTATTGATTGATATAGCAAAATATGAGGGTATATAATTCATTATTATATACAACTTACCACAATTTTGACAATAATATTCATAAATTTTCTTTTCCATATATTCAGTATATTCTATGATTTCACTAATAGGTTCATAATAATTCAATAGTTTACTATTATTTTTTAGAAAAAATATATATTTTGCATTAGAATAAAATACTGGTAAACATCCTATACCATTTCCATGATTATCTTTATTATTATTATCTAATATATATACTGGACCAATAATAACTTCATTCCCAATTGGATAATTAGCTTTATAAATAGTTTTAACTAATACAGTTATATTGAAGTAGATATTACTATTATTAGTAGTAGTATTATTAGTAGTATCGGTAGTAGTAGTATTGGTAGTAGTAGTAGTAATTCTATGATTAGAATATGATGAATGAATTTGTTTATATTTCTCATATGTATCATGATATGTTAAACGTCCCGCTATAATTACATCGGATTGTTTAATTAATTCTTCAATATTATTATTATTATTATTATTATTATTATTGAATAGAATTTGATGACATGAATCTTTTGAATGGATCACATAATCAGGATGATGATGAGGAGGATAATAATAATGATTGAAATTTTTGATATTTTTTTGTATTTTTTCATAATCAATACATTGATTTATTGGAATGATAATCAAATTATAGAATATGAAGAATATCATATACATGGATACTATATGTAATACGATTGGAATAATAATGATGATGATGATTACATAATAATAATGAGAACTTTGGATAATCAGTGAATAATATAGTGTAATAAATATGTGAATTGAACAGTTATATTATTATTATTCATTATAATAGTTACGTGTTTTGTAATATTCATATAATCATATCATTGTACATACTCATATGTATTTGAGGGTACTTGAATACATATGTATGTATAGTATGATGAACGTGATCAGAAGAAAAGAGAGCAAAAAAAAAGAACCGATATAAATGATTATGATTGGATAATTAGATTCTATGGTACTTTAGTTGTTAATCTTATTTTCAGAAGAGTTAATAGTATATTTCATTATTGATGTATCAGAAGGGGTTTCTGTGGATATTATAGTAATTTTTTTAATAGTTGAGATTATGAGTCCATGGAAGCTAGACCACTATGAAAAAAGGTGGAAACATTAGATGGCCGATTCGTTCTATTGTGGGACTCTTCGACAGTACACATCCACGATTCCGCCTCGTGAGATTCGAACCCTTGATCTGTCAGTCTCGTGCATGAACGCTTAGCCTCTAGACCAATGAACCGGCATCTAATAGTGTAAACGTGTAACTGGGTTCAAATTTTGTGAGTTGAGATCGTGGATGCGCACTTCTGAAGAGTCTCATACTAGAACGAAACGGCAGTTCATTGCTTCCAGGTTTTCAGTGGTGGTATGAAATTGATCAATTCTTAATCTCGCTATCACATTCTGATTGTCAATACACTAAATCACATAAGCTTTAAATTATATTCGATAGAATTCATATCACTTTAGAGAACTATTTTCCTTGTACAAGTAACCGCCTCGAGAGATCCGAATCCAGGACCTATTGGTCTCGTGCACGAACAATTAACCTATAGACCACCAAGACGGTTGGTATCCAATAGTGTTAATGTCTAACTTCAATTAATCCACAAAATGAGCGACACATCCACCACTATCTTTAGTGAGTTACTATCTCACAACTGATCCGGTTGAACTCCACTGGTCATTGCATCTCATTAGAACTCCAGGAAATACATTTCAATATCAGTCATTAGTGAGCATATAGTCTAGCTTCAATTGACTCATGGTCTCAGTTATTTAAATATTGATCTATTCGAATACCTTAATTCACTAAAAACGAAGTTATTCTTTTTTTCTAGGACTGTTCAGTTGCATTTCAGAGTTGATGTGCACTCTGGGACTCGAACCTAGTACTGTTTGCTTCAAACGCCATCGCGTTATCCATTTAGGTTGACTATTTCCAAATTAAACAGGCAGATGTTCTAGAAGGAATTATTATGAAATGCATGAGGTCATAGTGAAATGAATGAGAACACGGATGGGGATAACCAATATGTTTTAATACAAAATTACAGAGTATGTTGATATAATATGAGAATTATCTATTAAATACTTCATCTGTAAATTTCCTTTTGTCCTTCACATTCTGTATGTCTATTCCGATTCCCAATTCTTTTCTAATTCCGTTTCAGTTTTCTTTAAGTCAACCTTCATAACCTTCTGCTGCCAGTTTTTTCACTACCGATTGATGTTACACACTACTTATGTCGACAGATATAAGTAGTATACACTACATTGTTACACAATTTGATTGACAAGGAAAAAGAATAAGTAAAACTCATTCAAGAAAGAGCGAAATTGATTTTTAATTCAGAACATGAAGCAAGATGTTATAGAGTGAATTATCAAAAACTTAGATCATAAATGTGATACGAAACGGTAAGACTATAATTTATAAACGACCTTAGAGCAACCTTAAAGGACTGAGAATGTCTGCCTATGTACTAGGACTAATAAGGGTTATAAACCAGTGTGAGAAATTGGAATTATGATTCACAGTTGGTTGTTAGGATGGGGGATTAGATTTAGGGTTTTCATCGCGAACTGACATCAGCTAAAATGCCAAGACCCTATTTCGCTAAATGGATGAATGAAGTTCTCACCAAAATTCAAGACTGATTGGTTTGTTCATAAATTAGAGTCTCGACAAGCATTCTAGTTCAGATGGACTATTTCGTTTGTGTTGTATTCTCTAAGTTGGATATTATGTCAAGATTATCAAATGGAATACAATGATAAGAAAAGCCGACATAAACTCTTGAGATGATCATTCACAGATGATCATTCGCAGATGATCTGGCCCTTCTATCCCAAACGCAACAACAAACGCAGGAGAAGACGACCAGTGTAGCAGCATCCTCAGCATCAATAGGTCTCAATATACACAAGGAGAAGAACAAGGTTCTCCGATACAACACAGCATGCAGCAATCCAATCAGAATTGACGGAGAAGATTTGGAAGATGTAAAAACCTTTACATATATGGACAGCATCATTGATGAACAGGGTGGATCTGATGCAGATGTGAAGGCGCAGATCGGCAAAGCAAGAGCAGCAAATCTACAACTTAAGAACATCTGGAACTCAAAGCAACTGTCAACCAACACCAAACTCAGAATTTTCAATACAAATGTTAAGACAGTTCTACTGTATGGTGCGGAAACCTGGAGAACTACGAATGCAATCATCCAGAAGATACATGTGTTTATTAATAGTTGTCTACACAAAATCTTCGGATCCGTCGGCCGGACACTATTAGAAACAACGTAATGTGGGAGAGAACAAACCAGATCTCAGCGGAGGAAGAAATCAGGAAGAAGCGCTGGAACTGGATAGGACACACATTGAGGAAAGCACCCAACTGCATCACAAGACAAGCCCTCACATGGAATCCTCAAGGCCAAAGGAGGAGAGGAAGACTAAAGAACACATTAAGCTGGGAGATGGAGATAGACATGAGTAAAATGAACAATAATTGAATGGAACTAGAAAAGAAGTCCTGTGACAGAATGGGTTGCAGAATGCTGGTCGGCGGCCTATGCTCCGTTAGGAGTAACAGGCGTAAGTAAGTAAGTCCACATATAATAAACGCTGATGAAGATATCCAAGACGATAAACAAAGCTTTACTGTTAAACCATCTAGTTTAAACAACTAAAATGAATGTAACTATTGATTGTTCCTTTCCAATGAAAATGTAATCAAAGTCTAATATTCAGATGTCCAAAATAAGTTTAGATTTTGTAGTTTAAAAACATTGAGTAAATGCTATTCATTGTAATATTTCAAGTGAACTTTATCTAGCACGTGTTTTTACAATAACTCTATATAATAACCATACTTACTTACGCCTGTTACCCTTTATAAAGGAGCCTAAGCCGCTCACCAGCATTCGCCATCCCACTCTGTTATGGGCCTTTCTTTCTACTTCTATCCATCATCATCATCATTCAGTGCACATATAACGCATATAAACAATAAACTTTCTTTTATTTCTTTCAATATGCATTCTCTGATACGTACATATGAACTGGTAGGTTGAATAGTAGAGAACATGAAGTGTAAGGCTGTCCTCTTATGACCTTGTTGATAAACACTTTTTATATAATATCAAGAAACTAGTTTGACAGTTAGGACATCAGGAGAGTTCTATTGTGGGGAGCTGAAATATGGAAAACTACCATAATTATTATCAAAAAAAGTACAGGTATTTTCAAACAGCTGCCTATGTTAAATACTCATTATCCGTTGAATGAAAAACATTAACAACAACCTACTATAACAGAGAACAAATCAGACTCTATATGGAAAGTGAATTAGGAAACGATGCCGTAAGTGGTTAGGACACATATTGAGGAAATCATCAAACTGTCTAACAAGGCAAGCCTTAATTCGGAATCATGATGGCAAAAAAAGGAAGACCAAAGAACATACTGATTTGGGAATTGGAGGTATACATCGAAAGAATGAGTAGCACTTAAAAACAAATAGAGAGGACAGCTAAAGTTGGAGAATCCCAGACTGCCAACTATCCTCCACGAAAGGTTGACAATAAGTATGTATTTCTCAATAATCAAGATAGAGACTAAACACTGCTTCTTTATTCTATAAGAAACCAGTTCAATCCAACAACATCAGAAAAACAACTCATGAAGCTTTCTTGTTACATTTGGGCATCAAGAAGACAAAGATTAATCTTTGACACTAAAGCATTTGCTGTTTCAACAAATTATGATATTCTTTTACAAATGATTGAAATGCAAAGTCTTTAGTTGATCACAAACAGCATATGATAATACAAGATTATCAATAATAAAAGAGTAAAGATCATTGAGATCATATTTTACCTTCATTAATCATGAGTATCAGAGTACAATAAGCCTATATCGATTTCTCTATGTTTAGTTCCTACTAGTTTGAATAACACTTCAATCCTTGTTAATTATATATGCAAAGCTTAAACCATAGATTATGAAGGTCAATGTTTGTGACTGAATTTTTAATTATTTTTGTATATTTCGAAATATTGAATAACTTGTGACCTCTTGAAATATTCAGTGAGATATTCTAATTTAAATTATCACACTGCGTCTATATGAAAACTTCAATAGTTGAAATCATGAGTCATTTGAAGCTAGACTACCATAGCGAACCTGGAAGCATTGGATGGCCATTTCATCCTATTGTGTAACTCCTCAGCAGCGCACATTCATGATCCCGCCCCCCGCGAGATTCGAACTGAAAACCTACCAGTCTCGCGCGAGAGAGCTTAACAATTAGGCCATTTAGCTGGCCGGCATCCAATGGTGTTAATGTCTAACTATAACCAATACACGAAATTACTGAGGAGTCCCATACTAGGACGAAGCGGCCGTCCAGTGCTTTCAGGTTTTCCATGGTGGTCTAGCTCCAATTGACTCATGATTTCAACTATTAAATTTACTAAGATCTCCAAAAAAACCATATCTGATATATGAAAACTTCAAAAGTATACTCTTTAGATGAAAATTCTGATGTACAATTGTTTTCAAGTGTTCCTGGAGTTTTACTTAAAGAAACCCCTTAGAAACTGTGATGACAATTTTTAAGTGAATATTTTCAAAATGCCTGACTAATTGATTAATTTTTTAACAAGAATATCTAGAGAACACCACAACAGTGATGTTAGAGAACTAAAG